GGGCAGCCGCGTCTCCGGGAAGTAACAGGAGGCGAGTTTCCACCTCATGTGACTTTGCAATGAGAGCAACGCTGTCCACGCTACAGAAGTGCTGGGATTTCACCACCAGCAGGTCCCCTGGAGGCCTGTTAGGGGATCGGCTTCTCATCTGTGGGTACAGAGCCCTGCAGACCCCGGACCAGCATGGTCAGTGCCCACTTCTCTTTCAGAGGGTCCCACAGGGGCGGAAGCAGCAGAGGCGTGAGGGCCACGTGCCCTGGGCCGTGGGCTGGCGCTGTCCCTGGTGCTGCAGCCACAGGCGGTGAGGACTGAGCCCGGAGGGCTGAGGGCCAGCCCAGCCCAGCTGCCAGCCACAGACGGACGCACAAACCATGTCACGTCCACAGGAGGAGCCCTGCAGAGGCCCGCCTCCCAACGCAGCGGGAACGCCGCACACAGAACGCAGGCTCTGGGGGCCCAAGAGCCGGTGCTGGTTCAGATTTGTTCCTGGCTGAATCAGCTTGGGTCTCTTCTGAGAACCCCAAGCCCACGCTCAGCGGGAACCATGGCCAGGCGCCTTAGGAACAAGTGCTGCCTGCAGAACGTGCCGCGGGCGGGCACCCCCCCTTGCTGGGCCTTCCCCAGGGTTATCTCTTCCAGTGCACGCGTCCCGGAGGGACTGCACGGGCGAGAAGTCACATAAATGCATAAGCAACGACGGTATGGCTTCCGAGCACGTCCATCAGCCGCTGCCGCGCCTCCGCACCGGCTCTGGGCACGAGGTGTCCCCGAGCTCCCGGGCGGGCGGGGAGACAGCAAGGCTGCCTGGCGCCTTGTGCTCAGCAGCACGTGGTCGAGACTCAGCCATGTGGCTGCGTGTCCTCTTCACGCTACAGATGTTCTATCACTTTCTGCCTCACCACAGTGTTCATCCCTCACCTGGCGTGGACACTGGCTGCTCCTCTCCTCAGAACAGGACACGCGTCCGTTTCCCTGGCCATGGTAAGTACTCGTTACATTTCAACAAGAAATTGCCAGCCTCTGAAGTTCCTGCCATTTTATACCCAGAAGCAAAGCACGAGTCCTAGTGGCTCCGTGGCCATTAGCTTGGCACTAACTGGCTTAGCGGGTGTGCAGGCGTGGCTCTCTGTGGTCTCCACGGCGACTCTCCTAGCATCTTCTCCTGGGCCCCTGAGCAGAGATTCCAGGACAGGAGGTCCATGTTTAAGAACTTGGATTGGGTCGTAAGAATTATCTATTCTGACTGCAACCTCCTTTTCAAATATATAGACTAGACATAGTTTCTTAATTCTCTCAACGCTGTCTTTAAAGAACATAACTTTCCATTTTCATGAAGTCAAACTCCAGTTCATAACACACTCACCAGACACCACACACACACACACACACACACACACTTCTATACACATTGAATGCACATCTTTATTTACCTATAATTTCTTTTCTACTCTAAGACCACACACCCGGGGCCCACGGAGTCTCGATGACTCTCACCATGGCGATGGAGTAAAACCCAACAGCACACACAGGGCCCCAGAGGGTGGCCAGAGGTCGGGCCCAGGAGCCGCACTGGCCGGGGGATGAGGAGGGAAGGAGACAGATCTGGGTCCACAGACCTGGCTGTGTGAACAGCGAGGAAGCCACGGAGCAAAGGCCTCAGGCTGACCAGGTCGCCTGTGGACCCGCGGGGGGAGGGACGGGCGAGGAAG